CTCTTTTCCAGATCAGCCCAGCGCGGCAGCTCAGTGGCAGCAGGAAACTGAGTGCGCCACGCGTCGGTAAGGCGCGCGAAGCAGCGCTGCGTGGGGTGCGGCCTCCCACACTGCTGGCCGCTGCGGTCACCTGTGCGAATGACGTACGTGCAGGTAAAGCCACGCTGCGCATACCACTCACGGGCGGCCTGAAGCGTCGGGGCGGGCTGCTGACTCTGCCCTCCGCCAGTGCCTCCACGACCACCACCCCCACCGCCGCCGCCCCGGCCACCTCCACCTCTGCCGCCGCCACGACCACCTCCGCCTCCGCTGCCGCCTCCGCCACCACTCCCACCGCTGCTGTCTCCTCCCCCACTGCCGCCACTAGTCTCCCCAGCCGCGCCTCCACTCCCACCGCCTCCACCCCCACCTCCTCCGCCACCACCCCCACCCCTGCCCCCCTTGTTCCTGCGGCGCCCGCTCGAAGCAGACGCGGTCCCGACCTTCTCAGCACCAAGAAGGTCGACAGCAGCAGCAGAGGCGACAGAGGGGAGGAGGGGGGAAGGGGAACACCCCTCAAAGAACGGGGTGCGGGGGTCGCCACGAGAGGTGCCTACAGCGACGATGCTCGCCTCAGCTGCAAGCAGTTCCTTCTCGAGGAGGGCAACAGTGAGCTCAGTGGGGGAGCGAGAGAGGAAGTGGTCCCTGACTGCACGCAGAGAGTCAGGGAGGCGGGTGACGATGTGGTAGAGAGTGATCCAGAGCGGGGGGGGGGTTGCTAGCGAGGAACTCGTCAGGCATGGCAGCGCGAAAGCGGGCCTCACTAGTCTTAAGGTGGGTGATGAGGTCTGCGACAGTGTGAAAGGAGGCTAGGTCGGGGAACAGGTAGGGGAGAGTGAGGCGGCCTAGTGTGGCAGAAGCGGGTGAGGAGTAGCGGGCAACTACAGCGGTGTAGAGGTCCTTAGCAGTCTTGCACTGGCCGAAGTGCTCGCGCTCGTCTAGCGGCAGGGAGTTGCGAATAGCAAAGCGAGCGTGCGCATCACGGGTCTGCCACTGGGAACGCAGAGTGCTGTCAGCAGACGAGTCAGGGGCAGTGGCATGGCCTAGGGCGTGGTCGTACAGTGAGATATCTTCCTTGGCAGTGAGCTGTAGGAACAGGTGCAGGTCATCTAGCCAGGTTTCGAACTTCACTGGACGGCCCTCGGCATCGAAAGCTAGAACTGGAGGACTAGCCATAGTGACAGTAGCAGTAGTAGTAGTAGCAGTAGTAACAGTAGTAGTAGGAATCAGGCCGCTGGAAAGGTGTGTGGAGGGTCAACAGGGCCTGCGGGGCCGCTAGGCAAGGCGCGGGCGGGGTCGACTGTCCGTAGTGGCACACGAGCGGCAGTAGTAGGTAGCGTGGCAGCAGGAGCTGCAACGGCGCACTGGTGGCAGCTGCAGTGGCAGCAGTGTGCGCGGTAGGTAGAAAATAAACAACAGTGAGAGCGAGTGCCTCGCGGGCGGCGGCTGCAGAAGTGCACGGGCGGCATGTCAGAGGTCCACTGGTGATCCCCGATTGATCCTAGGGAAGGGTTACAGGCACGTTGGCCTGGGGGGTTATGGGCGCACTCACCCGCTACACAAACAAGCCCTTTTATCCAAGTGGTTAGTGGCTGGGATTCTGACATGGTATCAGAGCGAAGGTCTCGGGTTCGAATCCCGGTGTGTGCACCTCGGGCATCCCAGTGCGGGGGGGTGTCAGAGGTCCACTGGTGATCCCCGATGATCCTAGGGAAGGGTTACATGCACGTTGGCCTGGGGGGTTATGGGCGCACTCACCCGCTACACAAACAAGCCCTTTTATCCCAGTGGTTAGTGGCTGGGATTCTGACACGGCAGCGGCGCACGGGCAGCGGCAGCGTAGGGGCAGCGACGGCGCACGGGCAGCGGCGGCGCACAGGCAGCGGCGGCGCTCGGGAGGCAGCGGTGCGCAAGCAGCAGCGGAAGCAGCGGCGTACGAGCGGCTGCGGGCAGCGGGGCGTGCGCGAGCAGGCGACGGGCGGCTGCGGGGCGTGCGCGAGCAGGCGACGGGCGGCTGCGGGCGGGCGGCCGCTGCGACGGCGGGCTGTGGGCGGCTGCGGGGCGTGCGCGAGCAGGCTACGAGCGGCTGCGGGGCGTGCGCTAGCAGGCGACGGGCGGCTGCGGGGCGTGCGCGAGCAGACGACGGGCGGCTGCGGGGCGTGCGCGAGCAGGCGACGGGCGGCTGCGGGGCGCACGTATGAAAACGACCGCGCGCGAGCGGCTAAGGGGCGGCGCGACGGGGCCTTAAGGGGCGGGTCGCGGGTCGCGGGAAGTAGGGGCCGTTAAAAAAAAAAAAGTTCGAGGCGCCCTAGGTAGGTAGGTAGGTAGGTAGGGAACGGTGGGCCCTTAAAAAAAAACGGTCCTAGCGAAGGACCTGCTCTGATACCATGTCAACGAGAACGGACTGGAATGATGAACTAGCAAGGATTGTGAGTACAAATATGAAACCCTAATGTTGTGACCCCCCTATACGCAAACCCACTACAGCCTACACAAATACAACATGTATAATGTTTGACAATCACGTGCTCGACGGCGGACATCTGGGGAAACCGTCGGAGCGTTTTCTACCTGGCACCTGCGCAATGTCTCTGACGGTGTAACCGTCTACCTGCACCTACTCGGCAGGTGCACACCTGCGCAGATATTCACCTGCGAATGCAGCGCTGGCAGGCCGCCCTGCTGCAGCGCTGGCATGTCGCCCTTCTGCTACGCTGGCAGACCGCTCTGTTTCAGCGTTGGCGAACCGCTCTGATGCAGTGCTGGCAATTCGCCTTGCAGAATGCTTGCTAGGGATTGCAATGCCATTCCAGAGATATCACTTTGCATGCTCATTCTTGTACTCTAATCCTCAATTTTCAATGTACTTTCATTTTTCCTTAGTGGAAACTCTTGCCAAATTTCTCTGTGAACAGAGCAAGTAGTGAGAACTCTGTTAGAACGCTACTAGAGCGCTACGATCACCCACACAACTCCGTGCCCTCCTTCGTAGTTCACACCCGTTGTAGGGTAACTCTCCGCACATCTCTCGTCAAAAGCGACGGCATTCGCACTCAATTATTTAGTTTCGAATGCATTCAAGCAATTGCACGTCATGCTTTTTCTATCCTACCGTCTCAAGGCGTTGAGCAACTTGCCGATTACCTTCAGCAAATCATTGATGAAGCTGAAGAAAAGATTCATTTCCTATTCACCGCGGATCAGCGCGGCTTCGAAGTAGCCAATATGGCTTTAAAGATTAAGTACGGCGAGGTGGTGGAGGAAAAAAACGTTAAGGCCGCTACTCAGATCGTGGCGGCTAGCAAAAAGAGGCCGCACAGGCCCACCACCTCGACTCGCCCCAATCCCGCTCCTCGCAATCGAGGCCAAGGGGAACGCCATTGGACTTGGCGTAGGGATGGCGATGGGCGTTGCTTCTATTGTCGCGAGCCCGGCCACGGAATAGCCGATTGCCCGCAGCGGGGCCAAGGGGCTAACCAGCCTACTAAGATTGTTTAGAATGGATGCTTGTTATATTTATTATCATAAAGGATTATTTGACATAAATGTTTCCCAAAAAAAAAAAAACCGATCTTTACATAATGGGCTTGTTGCACCATGGCAAGAGAGGATATATATATATATATATATATTTATATATGTTATAATATGTTCCCCTCATACACGGGCGGGTATATTGCAGAACTTCAATTGGTCCCTCCGTTGAAAAAAAAAAAAAAAAAAAAAAAAACACACACACACACAACAAGAGCAACATGAATCTAAACAAGAGATAGTTTAATAGAAACCATCGTAGTAGGCATTGCCTGGCATGCGAGCCTTTATTCTTCGGCTACGCTTTTGCGCTGCCGTGTCACTGCATTGTTTGTTACGATAACATCGTCTGGTATTGTCATGCTTGACTCACTATCGCGGTCTTACTCGCATCCCTGTCCACGCCCCACCAGATTTTGGCTTTATACCCGACATGGACGAACCACATGCCACTGTGCAGCACATGCGGGGACGCTTGCGCGATCGATCCACATGGTGGAATTCTTGGTGCACGAGTCGCTTCATCTTATCCGTCGTAGCATCAGGTTATCGGCTGCCGTGGCGATCAAACGAGCCTACCCTCCACCATGCCCCGAACCACTCGCGCGCGTTGCAACACTTGACATTTGCAGTCGAGGCCGTGGCCGACCTAATTGCTAACGGAGCAGCTCGTCTCGTCCCTGTCGATGCGCCGCTCACATGCGTTAGCCCACTTAATGTGGTTGTCCAACCTTCGAAGAAACGACTCATATTAGACCTTCGTCATGTAAACTCGTTTCTCTCTATCCATCGATTCCGGTACGAAGGACTCAACAGGGTCCCCGATCTAGTGCGTCGAGATGACTGGTTATTCACCGTCGACCTCAAGTCGGGTTATCACCACGTGGACATCCACCCGTCATTCTGGCGGTTCCTCGGTTTCTCACTGCAAGGCCAGCGCTACCAATTTCTCTCATTGCCATTTGGGCTCGCCACGGCACCATTCGTTTTCACACAATTAATAAAGCAACTGGCCAAGCGCTGACGCAGCAACGGGATTCGGTTAATACCTTGTCAGTGATAACGGACTGGAATGAATCGAGGAACTAGCAAGGATTGTGAGTACAAATATGAAACCCTAATGTTGTGACCCCCCCTATAGGCTAACCCACTACAGCCTACACAAATACAACATGTATAATGTTTGACACACCCCCATAGGCAAAGTGGGGGAGACCTAGGGGTCACAAGACCAGTCAAGGCAAAGCAAGGCAACAACAAGCTCAGGGTGGATCTCAAGGATTCCACACAAATTCCGAGCACAAGCTAGTGGTCACAAGACCAGTTCACATGCAGGTTTATAACAAAGCAAGAGATACAGTGATCACAACCTAGCAAGAGTAAACATGCAGGTATAGATATATATAGTGATCACAGTACAAGCAAAGTCAAGAGGTAAGTAAGTGAGGTCCAGTAGGCACAAGGCCTAGTAGAGTGCAGAAGCGCTGATGGTCACGAGGCTGAAGCGCCTTGGTGAACACATCAGCAGTGTTGGCCTCAGTGGCCACGTAGCGAATACAAAGCTGACCGCGCTGCTGCAGCTCACGAGCAAGGAAGTACCGAAGGGCGATGTGCTTCGTTCTGTGCTCCAGTCTGTGCTCCTCACACAAGGCAATGGCAGCCTTGTTGTCGACGTACAGTACTGGAGGAGAACGAGGCCGCTCTCCGAGGTCGGTCAGCAGGTAGGTCAGCCAGCGTAGCTCCTGGGCAGCCATGGCTGTAGCGTAGATCTCAGCCTCGCAACTGGAGCCGAGAACAGAAGAAGAGCGTGTAGAGCGCCAAGAAACTGAGCCAGAGCCAAGGCTGAAGGTGTAACCCTGAGACGACCGCTGAGTGGCCTGGTCGTCTGCCCAAGAAGCGTCTGAGTGCCCTGTGAGAACAACTCGGTCTCGCCCTCCAAGCACAAGCCCCATGCCTGACGTACTGCACAAGTAGCGCAACACCCTCTTAGCGGCATCCATGTGCTCCTTCCTGTGACGGCCAGGAGCGACATAGCGTGCAAGGATGCTAAGAGGGTATGCAAGGTCAGGTCGAGTGCAGGTCATCAGGTACATGAGGCAGCCCACAAGCTCTGGATACGGGCCACTCGGCTCTACGGACTCATCCGAAGGCAGAGCTGAGAGCGAGTGACCGGTAGGCAGAGGAGTGGACTGAGGCGAGGAGTACGTGAAGCGGAAGCGCTGGAGAACCTGCTGCACCATGTGTGACTGAGTCAGGGTGATGGTGCGCCGTGCTCTGTCCCGGGTGATCCGCAAGCCAAGATAGCTTGTCAGCTCACCCAGGTCTGTGCACGTGTGTCTCCTCTGCAGCTCCGACTTCACGTAGGCGAGTCCTGCAGTGTCAGCAGTGGCAAAGACCAAGTCGTCGACGTACACGAGGATGTAGAACGGCGGCAGCGAAGTGTCGGTGCGCAGGAACAGCGACGGGTCAGCTGTAGAAGGCGCGAACCCAAGAGCCGCAAGTGTAGTCCTCAGTGTGTCGTGCCACTCACGCGGAGCCTGGCGGAGACCGTAGACCGGCCGCTGAAGCCTCCACTGGGTACCAGGAGGAAACGACCCAGTGAAGCCAGGTGGGCGGCGCAGCCAGATCTCCTCGTGCAGGCTGCCCTGCAAGAAAGCAGTGCTGAAGTCAAGTGAGTGAAGCTCGTAGTCGCGGTGGGCGGCTATGTGCAGCAGCACCCGAAGAGTAGTCATCTTCGGGGTGGGGGAGAAGGTCTGGAAGAAGTCAACTCCCTCTCGCTGACTGAAGCCTCGAGCCACGTAACGCGCCTTGAAGACAGGCGGAGAACCCGGCGGCCGCTTCACCCTGAAAATCCACATGCCACTGACGATGTTCGCCCCAGGAGGGGGAACCTCGTCGACGTAGGTGCGTGTGGACTTCCAGGAAGCCATCTCGGCGTCCATGGCTGTCTGCCACTGAGAGGAGTAGGGACCCGCCATCGCCTCAGCGTAAGTGCGCGGGGTCTGGATGTCTGGTGCATCCGGGTCTCCCTCAGGGGCAACTAGCAAGGACACGAGACGGGGCAAAGCAGCAGCAAGACACTGGAACTCCTCCTGTCTGTCCTCAAGGACGTCCGTGCCAAGAGCACACTCACCCCCGACGGACGGAGGACAGACAGACTCAGACTCAGACTCAGCAACAAGGCTAGCAGCGTAGTCTAGACGACAGGCAGCAGCAAAGTCAACCAACTCAGCGACCAGAGCAGACGCAGCCGAGGACTCAAAGGTAGGGTCAGTGACAACAGTAGCGAGGAGACGCGTGACAGTAGGGTGCTCAGCACGATACCGGTCAGACTCAGGGTCCGGAACGTCAGGCAAAGAGGACGCAGGAGGAGACGGTAGAGGGACACGCCGAGGAGCAGTAGAGGGACGCAGAGTCATGTAGTGAGTGCCTGGGACAGGAGGAGGACGCTCACGACGGACACGACTACCAGTGCGAGCAGGACGAACAGGCGACGCAGGACGAGACTCAGGCTCACGACGCTCTGTAAGACCTCCTGTGGGACCAGTGTAAGGAGAGGGAGCAGGGAGAGGCGAGGTAGGCGGTAACTGTGACTGCGGCTGGACAGGCGGGGGACACTCTACGGAGGGAGGAGGACAAGGAGGAGGAGCCTGCCCAAGAACCTGCTGAAGGAGCGGTACGAAGTACGGTCGCGGCCGCACAGCGTCTCCAGAAGCAGAGGAGACTCCAGCGGCCGGGTCCTCAGTACCAGTAGGAGCTCCAGTGTCCGGGTCCTCAGCACCAGCAGGAGCTCCAACGCCCGGGTCCTCAGCAGCAGCAGCAGCGCCACCGCTCGGGTCCTCAGCTCCAGCAGCAGCTCCACCGTCCGAGTCCTCAGCACCAGCAGCAGCTCCACCGTCCGGGTCCTCAGCACCAGCAGCAGCGCCACCGCCCGGGTCCTCAGCTCCAGCAGCAGCTCCAACGTCCGAGTCCTCAGCACCAGCAGCAGCTCCACCAGGCAGGTCCGCAGCACCAGCAGCAGCTCCAACGTCCGGGTCCTCAGCACCAGCAGCAGTGCCACCCCCAGGGTCCGCAGCACCAGGAGCACCACTCCGAAGACTGCAGCGGCGTGTGTACCACTCGCGGATCTGCTGAATGGGGGGGAGCTCCTGGGTAGGAGGGGAAGTACCGGGACGAGCTCCAGCAGCACCTCTCCGGAGGCGGCAGTACTCGAGGTACCTCTCCTGCAGCTGCTGGGAGGAGAGGGCTCCTCCAGGTGTAGCACGCGCAGGCTCAGCACCCCCAGACTCAGCACCTCCAGACTCAGCACCCCCAGGCTCAGCACCTCCAGGCTCCGCACCTCCAGGCTCCGCACCCCCAGACGCAGCACCCCCAGGCTCAGCACCCCCAGACGCAGCACCCCTAGGCTCAGCACCCCTAGCAGGACGAGAGTCAACAGCTACCTCGACAGGCTCACCCGGGTCTACCTGGGACACACCTGAGGGAGCGGCACCCTGAGGGGGGAGGGGGTCTGGTACCTCAGCACCTGGAGCGAGGAAGAGAGGCGGGGGGGGGGGAGCGGGGCAGTGCGGTAGGGGAAGAGGCGGTAGTAGGGGACGGACTCGTCAAAAGTGACGTCCTGAGAGGCCAGGACACGACGCGAGGTGGGGTGGTAGAACTGCCAGCCAGGGGCGTCCGGGACAAAGCCAAGGAAGACGCAGGGGACAGCGCGACGGGAGAGCTTGTCCGCGGACGTGTCGCGGACAAAAGCTCGGGATCCCCAGACCCGAAAACGCGACGCATCGCCAGCCTCTCCCGTCCAACGCAGTGTCGGAGAAGTCTCGGGCAAGGAGACACGGGGCCAGAGGTTGAGCTGATGCGCAGCGTATCGGACTGCAAACGGCCACAGAAAATGGGGGGCAGCCGCATGGCTCAAGGAGGTACGAGCGACCTCCATGACCAGACCAATGCGGCGCTCAGCAACCCCATTCTGCTGTGGAGAGTCCGGAAGCGTGTACGACTGCTCAATGCCCTCCTGCTGACAGAAGGCCTCCAATAGGCCAGAGGAAAACTCCCCACCTCTGTCAGAGTGCAGACGCAGGACAGGGAAGTCGGAGCGGAAACGCTCACTGAGCTGGAGACGAGATCTGCGGATCCAAGGGATCAAGACATCAGGGACGTCACCCTTGGCGCGCAAGGGGAAGACCGTGGTGTAGCGCGAGAAGTCGTCAACAACAATCAGGAAGTACCTCTCCTGACCCTGACCACGGACGCGGGCTGGGCCCCACACGTCCATGTGGAGCGTCTGCAAGGGAGCAGTCGTCGGGGGAAAGGAGGAGGAGTGAGGAGCGGCGCGCTGCCGTCCCTCGACACAGGGAATACAGGGAGGAGCAGGCGAGTCGGGAAGGGGAGGGAGCACCCTGGGAAGACCAGCAACAAGGTCCCGTTTGTGCATGGCCCGAAGGCGCTGCACAGACGGGTGACCAAGGCGGTGGTGCCAAAGGACAGTCTCATGCGCCAGAGAGCGACACGAGCAGGGGGCGGACAGCTGACCTGACGCAGACGCAGACGCGGACGCAGCTACCTGAGGGGACTCAGTGGTCAGTGTGTAAAGGTCCGACCCCGGCTCCCGAGTGAAGGTAGCCAGGTGGCGACCCGTCCGAGCACACGTGCAGTGTGTCACGCGCTCGTAGGCGGGGGTGAACTGGTGAACACCCCCGTCCTGGAGCGCACTACCTGCCACCAAGTTCGTAGAGAACGAGGGGAGGTAGAGACCTGACAGCGTGCCGGACGGGACCGCCGGACAAGGAAGGACAGTGGAGGAGGTCGCAATGACCGGACCCCCAGAGGGGTCAGCAAGGGAGACAGCAACTGGCCGAGCGAGTGGCTCAAGGACAGTGCGGTCACGAAAGAAGGAGCGAGAAGCACCTGAGTCCAGTGTGAAGGTGTGCAGTGCTGCAGTCGACTCAGTACCAGGGGACACGGACGCACGAGCACCTAGGGCAGCAGCCTCACCAGGACCTGTGGGAGCAGACGCACTAGCACCTAGAGCGGCAGCCGGACTGGCCTGAATGCCCGGGTCGGGCGGAACACGCAAGTACTGAGCACCCTCTCCACTAATAGACATCGCATACATGGCAGTGAGAATAGCATCAAAGTCTAAAGCCCAAATATCAACACCCCTCTTTTCCAGATCAGCCCAGCGCGGCAGCTCAGTGGCAGCAGGAAACTGAGTGCGCCACGCGTCGTTAAGGCGCGCGAAGCAGCGCTGCGTGGGGTGCGGCCTCCCACACTGCTGGCCGCTGCGGTCACCTGTGCGAATGACGTACGTGCAGGTAAAGCTACGCTGCGCATACCACTCACGGGCGGCCTGAAGCGTCGGGGCGGGCTGCTGACTCTGCCCTCCGCCAGTGCCTCCACGACCACCACCCCCACCGCCGCCGCCCCGGCCACCTCCACCCCTGCCGCCGCCACGACCACCTCCGCCTCCGCTGCCGCCTCCACCACCACTCCCACCGCTGCTGTCTCCTCCCCCACTGCCGCCACTAGTCTCCCCAGCCGCGCCTCCACTCCCACCGCCTCCACCCCCACCTCCTCCGCCGCCACCCCCACCCCTGCCCCCCTTGTTCCTGCGGCGCCCGCTCGAAGCAGACGCGGTCCCGACCTTCTCAGCACCAAGAAGGTCGACAGCAGCAGCAGAGGCGACAGAGGGGAGGAGGGGGGAAGGGGAACACCCCTCAAAGAACGGGGTGCGGGGGTCGCCACGAGAGGTGCCTACAGCGACGATGCTCGCCTCAGCTGCAAGCAGTTCCTTCTCGAGGAGGGCAACAGTGAGCTCAGTGGGGGAGCGAGAGAGGAAGTGGTCCCTGACTGCGCGCAGAGAGTCAGGGAGGCGGGTGACGATGTGGTAGAGAGTGATCCAGAGCGGGGGGGGGTTGCTAGTGAGAAACTCGGCAGGCATAGCAGCGCGAAAGCGGGCCTCACTAGTCTTAAGGTGGGTGATGAGGTCTGCGACAGTGTGAAAGGAGGCTAGGTCGGGGAACAGGTAGGGGAGAGTGAGGCGGCCTAGTGTGGCAGAAGCGGGTGAGGAGTAGCGGGCAACTACAGTGGTGTAGAGGTCCTTAGCAGTCTTGCACTGGCCGAAGTGCTCGCGCTCGTCTAGCGGCAGGGAGTTGCGTATAGCAAAGCGAGCGTGCGCATCACGGGTCTGCCACTGGGAACGCAGAGTGCTGTCAGCAGACGAGTCAGGGGCAGTAGCATGGCCTAGGGCGTGGTCGTACAGTGAGATATCTTCCTTGGCAGTGAGCTGTAGGAACAGGTGCAGGTCATCGAGCCAGGTTTCGAACTTCACTGGACGGCCCTCGGCATCGAAAGCTAGAACGGGAGGACTAGCCATAGTGACAGTAGCAGTAGTAGTAGTAGCAGTAGTAACAGTAGTAGTAGGAAGCGTGGCAGCAGGAGCTGCAACGGCGCACTGGTGGCAGCTGCAGTGGTAGCAGTGTGCGCGGTAGGTAGAAAATAAACAGCAGTGAGATCGAGTGCCTCGCGGGCGGCGGCTGCAGAAGCGCACGGGCGGCAGCGGCGCACGGGGAACGGCAGTGCACGGGCAGCGGCGGCGCACGGGCAGCGGTGGCGCTCGGGAGGCAGCGGTGCGCAAGCAGCAGCGGAAGCAGCGGCGTACAAGCGGTTGCGGGCAGCGGGGCGTGCACGAGCAGGCGACGGGCGGCTGCGGGCGGGCGGCCGCTGCGACGGCGGGCTGCGGGCCTGCGGGGCGTGCGCGAGCAGGCGACGGGCGGCTGCGGGGCGTGCGCGAGCAGGCGACGGGCGGCTGCGGGGCGTGCGCGAGCAGGCGACGGGCGGCTGCGGGGCGTGCGCGAGCAGGCGACGGGCGGCTGCGGGCGGGCGGCCGCTGCGACGGCGGGCTGCGGGCCTGCGGGGCGTGCGCGAGCAGGCGACGGGCGGCTGCGGGGCGTGCGCGAGCAGGCGACGGGCCGCGCGCGTAACTAGCGGGCCGCGCGCGTAAGAAACAAAGCCGCGCGCGCGAAAAAAAGGGACCCGCGCGCGAGTAGCTAGCGGATCGTGCGCGCGCGGTAGGGAAATGCGCTCGAGGGCGCGAGGCCTTAAGGGGCCGTAAGAACCGAGGCGCTCTAAGGCGCAGGTAGGTAGGTAGGTAGGTATATAGTGGTGGGCCCTAAGAACGGTCCTAGCGAAGGACCTGCTCTGAAACCATGTCAGTGATAACGGACTGGAATGAATCGAGGAACTAGCAAGGATTGTGAGTACAAATATGAAACCCTAATGTTGTGACCCCCCCTATAGGCTAACCCACTACAGCCTACACAAATACAACATGTATAATGTTTGACATACCTTACGTCGACGACCTCTTGTTCATATGTGCTACTAGGGCCGAGGCGCTCCAAACCCATTATCCTGAGTGACCTTGAGTCCGCCGGCTTTATTGTGAATATGAAGAAATCACAGCTCGAGTCATCACAACGGCTAAAATTCCTCGGCCTCATGTTGGACACCCGTACAACATCCTTTTCAGTCGATGCCACTCGCCGAGATCGTTTGTTTGAAGAACTTGAACATATATGTCGGCTTAGCACGCAGGGGCGTCGCATCCCGGTTCGGCGCGCGGCTAGAGTCACTGGCATGCTAGCTTCTATGGCCATGGCACTTGGGACCATTGCTCGCGCCTTTTCCCATAACCTGATCTCACAAATCAGTGCATGCCAGTCTTGGGGGGAATCCATACAGTTGACACCGGATTCAATCGACGAGTTGCGGTTCTGGTTGACTCAATTCGACGTTTTCAATGGCTCCGGTTTCCATAACCAGCACGTATATGACATCGTAATGTACGTGGACGCAAGCGATCATGCTTGGGGAAGCTGCTATTCCACGCCTGAGGGCAGGGTCGGCTCACATTCCTCGCCTTTTCCTCGTGCGCTATCGGTCGCCTCGAGCACGCTTAGTGAACTTGCCGGGATCCTCTGGGCATTGTCGACCTTCCGCACTGAGATCCAACGTTCACACGTCTTGCTACGCAGTGACAGCCAGGCAGCGTATTACATTTTAAAGAAAGGAGGCTCCCGCCATGCCGCGCTCACCCTCATTTGTCGCGCCATCATCACACTCTGCGTTCGTTACAAGATTCGACTCACGGCGAAGTGGATCCCCCGCGAGCTCAATTGTGAAGCCGACGCACTTTCAAAGATTGATCTCCATGATGATTATTCTCTCGCACGGACATGGTTTCGTGCACTCGAGGGCTCTTGGGGTCCACACACAATCGATCTATTTTCCTCATCGTCCAATTCGCAGTTGCCCCGATTCTGCTCCCTTGACCACGACCCGCATGCGGTTACCCAAGATGCGTTTGCTCTTAGCTGGGGTGGAGAAAATTGCTATGCTTTTCCTCCGCCGGCCTTGATCCCTGCCGTCCTCGCTCACGCTCGCCGTTCTCGGGCAACTGTAACTCTTGTGATCCCAGAATGGCCTAGCGCCTTTTGGTGGCCATTAGTGTGCCCCGATGGCTCTACATGGGCCCAGGATGTATGCGCAAGCATGTATCTCGCTCATGGTTCCGTATGTCTACGTGTCGGTAGCGATGCCCATGCCTTTAGTGGGGCTGGTCTTCCTCATTCACATATGTACGCTCTTCGTTTGGCATATACTAATATATAACTATGTACACATGCAGGTTCTTATATTGGACGCTTGCTGATGGATCTACTGACCCTCACAGTCGATCTGCGCGCTCAATCGACCATTCGCACATACGAACCCTACTGGCGACAATATCGCACATTCTGTAACGAGCATTCGTTGTCGGCTCTCCCGGCCACCGACCTGACGACCGCCCTCTTTTTGTTGCACTCAGTACGCAGGGGTGCTACGGTTTCGTCCGTACGGTCCGCTTGCTCTGCGATTTCATGTGCCCATTGGTTGGTCGGCTGCCCATCTCCTATTCGAGGACCGCTCTCCTCGCAAGTAAAGGAATACGCACAGCGCCACTGTGGCCAACCTTCACGAGCAAAGGACCCGATACCTCCAGCTAAGATATACGACATATGCGATCTCTATTTTTCGTCGACTGATCCTGCCACGTTTCAGCGTGGTCTCATCCCTCTTCTCATGTTTGCAGCCTTCCTGCGCTTCTCCGACCTGATCGCCCTTCAATGGCATCAAATCGAATTCGACCGTGACTGCATGTGGTTGTTCATTCCGCGTTCAAAAACGGATCAGGCCGGCTCAGGCGCTTGGGTCCCAGTAGCCGCCACTTCCGCTCGGCACTGCCCAGTCACCCGCGTACAACAATATCTCTTCCTTGCAGGCTTCTCTGCACAGACATTAGGCGCTCTCATTCGGGTTTTTTCACCCGCTGCACAGGCTTCGCCCTCTGACCGTTCCCCATCCTACGCTACAGTTCGGGCCTGGTGCCGCGAGGCATTTTCTCGTGTCGGCCTCAACCCGAATCTACTTGGTACACATTCTTTCCGCAAGTCTGCCGCCACAGTGGCCGTCGACGTTGGCGTGCCAGACCGCCTCTTCAAGGCCCTCGGCCGGTGGCGTAGCGACAAGGCTAGAGAGTTGTACGTAACCCAGCTCGATCGCGAGCTAGTGGCGGCATCGCGTACCCTCCAGGATCCATCGCGACCCAGCGCGACTCATCGTTATGCCTCCACCCTTGCACGCCATCGTCATTCCCCGCCTACTTGATGTCTCGTTCACCTATGACGACTGCACTGCACACTCCTCGTAGAGTCGTGTCACAATATGTAAAATTTTTAAGTTTCACTTTAAAAAATTGAGGATTGTGATTCGACTTGTAGAGGAGTTTGCAGTAAAGGAGACAACCTCCTTTACATTCCCGCAGGTCCACAGACCTGCCACCTAGTCTCATTAGCATTTTTCAGATCTTCATTTGCTTCCCTCCCACCCTCTCCCCACTTCAAACTTCAGTTTATATTCGCTTATCATGTTAGGATAGTATTTGTAATTGGCCATGCGAGTGTGCTGTACAAAACGAGATTTGTAATGCTATGACGACTGCTATGACGACTGCACTGCACACTCCTCGTAGAGTCGTGTCACAATAGCGTTGTCACGCTCTCTGGTATTTTGCGAAGACGCATGCACTCACAAAGGCGCAAAAGACAAGGTAGCCTGATCTGCGAGTATTTGCGTGAATCCGAAACTCACCTGAGCTGATCATGAATTTATGAACGGGCGTAGGGAGTGACAAGGTAGCCTAATCGCCAGCTTCATGCGGTGAGTCAAACTTCAAAGCAGAAGCCGTCCGCCACAGTAGTCTTTCTATAGCCTGCAAGAGGGAGGACGCAAGAACACGTTCAGACAAACGTATTTAGAACGTGCATATGTCAGAGAAACTAGGTAGATAGGAGCAGCCAGAGGACCTAGGAAGTTGAGAGAGCACGAAATCGTAAGATGTGAAATGAGCAGGTGCTGAGCTGTGGGTGGAGTTTGAAGGAATGGGAGAGGAGCATCTCGCACACTAAATGTGTGGTGTTGCGTCACACGTGCAGACTGTCAAAATCACGAAATGTTGCGAGATGGTTCAAGATTTGAAAAATTTCGCTACTTTGGGTTCAGTAGGAACCTAACGAAATTGGCGAGATGGAAACCCTTTGCCTTTTCGGTTTCTGTTCGCCTCGATGATCAAAACCACATCCGTGCTGTCACATTCAGATGTGACAGCGCACCTTCAAACGTGACGCAGTTTTATGACGCGTCAGCAACACCTTATCTGATTTAAGTCACGCTATAGTCTGTTCTGCTATAACGCCACGAAATCTCCTTCGATGCGAATTCAAATGTCAGATTCATGCAAGCTGGACACCACTGTACACCCAACACAACCGAATGAATTTGATGTCCTAACACAAATTGGCACGTGCGGGAATGGTTTGGATGCGAACTGACAGCGGCTGTTGAGACAATGGGAAAGGGGAGACAGTGTTCACCTATCCTTCAGCAAAGGTACAGCACTGCTTAGAGCGTGTTACACCTGCTAGGGTTTTAGCGACAATCCTACGCAACAGTTGGCAATCCTACAGAACAGTGTGCAATCCTACACAACAGTGTCCTACACAGTAACAATTGTAATCAGTATTTACCAATCGCAATCAGCCAACTCATCACTGTACAAAAGTAGGTAGGACACTGTTGTGTAGGATTGCACATTGTTCCGTAGGATTGCCAACTGTTGCGTAGGATTGCCGCTAAAACCCTAGCAGGTGTAACACGCTCTTACCTTCCTAAACACTGCTTCAAGTTACCGTAGGAATTGCTCGTTCAATGGTTAGTACGCATAGATGGAGAAAACTGACATTTAGGCGTTGCGTGTGGCGCTGTGAATTTTGTTGAGAAGGGGAGAGTAAGGCGAGAACATGCCGTGTGCCAGAGGCCTAGTGAATAATTATCGGGGGTGAAATTATATGGCTCGCGAACATGAATCCTCGATACGACCACCCCACTCACCCGCTAGGGCTTCTGTATACATAATAACAGAAACACGCAGCGATTTATGTATATTAGAGCTTCTGAAACATGTAGACGATGAAGTAACACGCTTTTAATTTTCTCGCATCAGCTACAACCGAAGAAAAGTGCTGACTTCCGTGTCGCTCACAATCACCCCTGGATGGTGGGAGTTGCGGGAAGGAGTCGAATTGGCCCTCTCCACGTTATCACACAAGTGAGCCACACTATACCCACGTCAGCATAAATGTACACTCAGCGCAATCTGACTCAAGAGTAAAGCAAAAGGAGCCCACTGACAGGCGGCCTCGCTCGCCGATTGGAGCGTACCTCACCTCGTTGGAGTTTCGTGGCAACGATGGGGTGTTCTGAGCGAAAGGCGACGACCAATGGTTCTTCACAGCACCTCACCATCCAGATCCGGATCAGAGTCTCCAAGAGCAAATGTGAGACTGTTTAACGGGTGATTGAAGAGCTGCCACGTGGCATCCGAATCAAACAAAATGACCTTTTCCCGCCTAGTTAGTTGCATGAACATTAAATGCTACGACTTTTGTAGAAGGAAACTTCCTCCGATGGAAATTTGGCGAACACCCTGCCTATTCGCATCTGATTTTCAACAAGAAATTCGAATATTTAGGGGCTGCAACATATGCTAGTGCTACCAGTAGTATAGAGTATTTAAAATTCTGGTCACGGGTGCTGGGAAGTGAGCGTTAAGTTCATTAAGGGAAAGATATGACCTGACTATTTGTAGCTTGGAAAACACACAAAGCACAAGTATCAGGGACAACTCACACAAACTGATCCATGACTGATCCCATTTTTGGCTTGGATTTCACTTCCACCAACGGAAATCGGATATTTGTTCGACTGCTCAGCTTTGTCTTTTCCGTGTAAATTTGTTGCGTAGAATGTACTGTACTCTCTGTTTCAAAACTGTTCTGTACACAATTTTGCAGCTTGGGTGAGCTGGTGTGGTTGGTGTGTAGACTTTATTAGACACGTTGCCAAATGATTCTTCTTGAAACATGGAGAGCTACATTAATTTGTCTTCAACATCAAAATCGAAACTCGGAAACAACTTGACAAATGCGAGATGTAGGAATCTTACAAAACCTCACTTCTTCATCCAGTTGGGGGCTGGCCTCCACTCAGCGCAATTGGTTGCCAATAATGCTTCGAAGCCACGTCAGCCTTGAACTACAAGCAAGTGGCATGAACGGCGCGAAAGACAAAAGTGGAATCACATGCGGCTTCTGGAACCCACGTCCAACACATGCCAACGAGGCTAAAACAGATATGATGGACGGATGCGGCGCGGCGCGACGCTTTCTGGCTGGTAAAAGTGTGCTGCCCAGCTCAAAAAGCTTTCTGTTTTCTCGACCGTTTTGACCTGGGTTTGTCTCGGTGTTCTTCGGTTCAGATTGTTTTGTCCAGAGCCAGCCCCCGTGCCTTCCTGCCCGCCCCTCATCACCAGCCATCCAATCTGCGGCATGACCCCTTTCCCCCGCAGTAGTTGGCGTTGGTTGTGGGGAAATTATACGGGAAGTCACAATTTTCCCCGTTTTATCACGTTTGGTCACAGGGGTATCACAAACAGTCACAGTACAGTAGATTTCTATCGCGGGTGATCACAGTGCTATCACGGATGGTCACACCTTGCCCCGAAAAGCTATCACGTTTGGTCACTCGATGTAACGAGTATAATTTATTTGAAACCACAAAAGAAACTGTAGAGATTTGGGGGAATCCCAATCTCGATTGCTGGTTACCCTCGCGCATGATTCTAGTCTGACATTTAGGGGACTGAAGAAAAAACTAAACCCCAAAGGATGGCACACCCTTCGGGAGGCATCAACCCTAAACACCTTGCGACAAGGTATTCAGGGTTGATGCCTCCAGAAGGAAATCCCATCCGAACGGGTTTTAGTTTTTTCTTGGGAAGGAAAAATAACCTTCAAGTTTCACCAGCCTAAAAGTAATATTCTTAGGGTCATTATGCACAAATCGAACAGTGGACAATCCAACCGTGAACAATGCGCAACGAGCTAGTTTTCCGATGTTACCAATGGTTTTTGCGAGTTGACGAGAGTGGTCGCGAAAATATTTCGTAACTTACAGCGTCTCGCAACACTACGGACAAAACAGCGCGCGCGATATAAATTTCCCCTGTCTCCCAACAGTTACTTTAGTAGTTACATTAATTAATTGGGCATTTCATCTGTGACCAAACGTGATAGACTTGTGGGGCAAGCTGTGACTATCCGTGATAGCACTGTGATCACACGTGATAGTTACGAAGTGTACTGTGACTGTTCGTGATACCCCCGTGACCAAACGTGATAAACCGGGCCTAATTGTGACTAACTATATAATTTCCCTTGGTTCTGTAGCGAGTTTCCCCCGCAGTCCCTCGGTCTATCCGCTCCGCTCCCCTCCCCTTATCCCTTCACAGCTTTCCGTCCCGGTGTGTACAGCCTACCCTCCCCTTTTGCCAGCCGCAGATCCCCCTCCATTCCGCATATCCCCCTCGATTCTGAAAATTCCCCCAACACATCCCCCAACACGAATATCCCCTCCCTATCCCTTTCACAAAACACAACCTTCGTCCGCCCGCGTCTGATGGGCAGGCTCCTCCGCTTTTGGAATGCTAAAGCTGAAACCAACGATCGCTCGTGAGGCATTCTTGCGTTTCTGATCACACGTATTAGACACATAGACCCGACTGGAATCCCAGTCACTTGGAAAAGTCCTTGCCTTTACAACGTCTCCACCTTCTTTCGCGCCTTCCATTCCCATTCCTCCCTCCCACGCCGCACGCTTCGCGCAGACCCAGTGGCTCATCTGACAATCTCGCGCTCAGCTCAAGGCCGGAGCTAGAACTCGCTTTTTCACTGTGGCTTTGTCCGCAGTGCTTCGTTGCGTAAATCAGCATACGTTCCACGCTATCGCTCAGATCTAGCGTCTGGTCCCACAGTGAAGTTCGTAAAGCCTTGTTTGCGTTCGAACCTCTACTTTCGAAGCTTACCCTTGGTTCTACGCACCCGACGTCACACGTCCCACATGTGCTACTACCGAATGGCGGCTGTCGCCTCTCCCGCTAGTAGGCCGCCTGCGCTCCGCGGTGGCGCCGCGCTCTACGAGCCCTTCAATCCTAGCCCGAAGTCACTCTGCGATTCGTGCAGCCTCTTTCCCGATTCGCCAGCCGCGCTCGCCTCGCCTTCATTTCCGAGCCGCCATCATACGTTCGTTGCGCAGCGGCGTTTCAGGCGGAGCCCTAGCAGCAGCGAGGGGCTGAGCGAGGTTTCATCTGGCGACGGCTGCGACTCTGACCAGGCGGCTGTAGCGTCGCAGTCGCCGATACTGTCATCGACGCAGCAGGCGACGTCGCAGACAATATCTCCGACGCTGCATGCGACGTCGCAGGCAGTATCGCCGACGCTGCACGCGATTCGGCACAGCCTGGAGAACATGGAGATCCGCGCGCTCGAGGGGAAGCTCGAGCTGCTCGCGACGCAGCGCCAGCTCAGCGCCGCGCGCTGCGAGAACTTCATCCACATGATCGAGTCGTCCATTGCCGGCGGCGGCGGCAGCGAGGACGGCGCATCTGCCGTCGCTTGTAACGGCGCGGACTGCGCCGACGGTTGCGGCGGCGGGGGTTTCGCCGCTATCCGCGGCAGCGGGGAGCTAGTATCTCCGCCGACGGGTATTACAAGGACATGTTCCGTTTCAAGTACTAGCAGCAGCGCTTCTACGAATGAGGAAAACGAAGACGATGATGGGAACGAAGAGGATGACGAAGCAGACGAGCCGCCTCCATTTTTTCAGCGCCGCGTTTCCCGGCGACGGTCGAAGGAAGCGTTGGAGCTGACTCATATGATGATGAACACATCCCTAAATATCGAAACTGCTCGTAACGAGGCGGAAGTAGACGACGGGAACGAAGAGGACGACGAGGCGGACGAGCCGCCGCCGCCTCAGCGCCGCGTTTCTCGGCGACGATCGTTGGAGCTGACGTCATTCTCGCTAAAGGATCGCTCGTTGGAGTCGCCGTCGATTTTCGGCTCGGGCCGTTTTCCTCCGCGATCGTACTCGTCGCGCGCGTTAGATCTGTCGCAGTCGCCAGTCGCACACGTCACGCGTGTACACAGCCACGGTCACTCGCCTTCCATTCGCCCGTCGCACAGCCGCTCTCCACGCAGTCTCGCGACGTCGCACAGCCACGATCACTGCCACATGCATGCGCAAGCGTCGCGCGATCTGAGTTTCTACGACTCTCATGCTCCTATCTCCCGCCCGCCGACCACTCGCGACGCTCATCACCCGCCTATTTCCCGCGCAAACACAACCCCGCTTTCCGGTCGCCATCACTCCGCCACCTTCCTTGTCCCCGTCAGCCCCACGAGCAGCAGAGCCTCTGCGGGGCCGGTTTCCGCTGAGTTCCGGCTTTCTGCGAGGGCGCTTTCCGCACGCCTGGGCCCGCGCGGAGACCTAACTCGCGGAGACCTTTCCCCCGAAGATTTGGGTTTTATTCACCATTCGCTTGGCGAAAGCCCTATTTCGGGATACAGTAACCACCCAGTTGGCGAAAGCCCCGGAGGAGGGTTTGGTGCAGCAGCCTCGTCATCAAATTTACGTGGTCGATTTGGGTCCAATTCCGCGCGCTTCAGCTGCAGTTGCGGGACGTCGCGCCGCTCATTGCACCGATTCGGCAGCTGGGCGCATCTTGACGTCTAAAGGCTTTTGACCGTCCAGTCATCATTGGACGGCGTGGATTCATCTTCCTCTTGTAACGGACAACTTCTGAAGGCTGGTACACGCAGTACCAGTTAGGGCTAAAAACGGCTGTATTATTATAGTCAGTTCACAAGTCACGTCAAAAGGCTCTTATTAGTGAGCCATTTTCCCTGCGGTGCAATACCCAAGCCGGTAAGGCACTGTCAGGGTTAGGAGGTAAGGAGAAGGCACGAATTCTAGGGCGCACTTAAGGCCTACTCTATATTTTCTTGTATTTTCCAACTCCTCGTGAGTTGAGTTTTGGGTCAGAACTTAGGGTGCATTCCTGAGGTCTATTGCTAAAGCCCCGCGCCTCAACAGACATACAGTGGAAGTGAGTGTGTTGTGGTGCAGATCGGTACAACGCGTTTTTTACGTCCAGAATGAAGACATTGCAGGGATGTAGCCTTAGGCATACCGGTAGTACATTCATTCTTATATGTTTATATATTGATATATTGGTATATTTCTATATTTATTTACATTATCAAGAGATGTTATCATCCATTAATTTGGTGCTTTTGAGAAGAGGGGGCTTCTCAAAATGACCAGCTTGGTGTTGACTGTAAAAGAGCTGTTCGGAAAATACGTCTGGTAAACGAAACAGGGCTAACCCGAATGTTCTACAGTGTCTGCCAACACCAGATCGAGTGAATAGATGGTTGAGAGGTGAAAGGCCAGAGGAGAGCAGGGAGAGGAGAAAGAAGGCCAGAACAGAAGAGAAAGAAGGCGAACAGCTCTCAGAAATTCGTTCCCCATCTCAACCCCCTTGTTTCATCTCCAGACACCCTCGCCCCTCCCCCGCCCCTCCACCTGGCCCCTCCCCCACCCTCTGATCCCCCTTCGTTCCCCCGCACTGTCCCTGCACCATCTCGAGTAGCGAAGAGCCTTGTAAAGGGGATGGAGCGGGCAGGGGCGGTGGGGAGCGCGGAGGCTGCTGCAAGCACAGCGTGGCGGTAGATGAGGGAGAGGTAGAAGGCGAGGCAGAGGAGGAGGAGCAGATCGTCTAAGAGGCCAACTATTCCCATGGCGACTGGTGGGAGGAACATGGGGAGACCAGGGAGGAGAGCAGGGAGAGCAGGAGACCAGGGAAGAGAAGGGACAGACGCACATGGGTGAGAAAGAGCACAGCGTGGCGGTAGATGAGGGAGAGGTAGAAGGCAAGGCAGAGGAGGAGGAGCAGATCGTCCAACAGACCAACTATTCCCATGGCGACTGGAGAAGGGAAGGAAGAAGGAACAGGGGGACATTGGGAGGAGAAAAGGCAGCAGACGAGGGAGATGAGTGAGAAGCAGCGTGGCGGTAGATGAGGGAGAGATAGAAGGCGAGGCAGAGGAGGAGGAGGAGATCGTCTAGTAAACCAATTAATCCCATGGCGACTGGTAAGGAAGGGAGGGGAACAGGGGGGAACAAGGCGGCGAACAGGAGAGGAAAGGGGCAGACACATGGGTGAGAAAGAGCAACAGCGCTAGATGAGGGAGAGGTAGAAGGCGAGGCAGAGGAGGAGGAGGAGGTCGTCTAACAGGCCAACAATGCCCATGGCGACTGGCAGAAGGGGACAGGGAGAAGGGCAGGGAGGAAAGGCAAGAGCAGAATGGAGAGCGGCCACAGGTAGGGGCAGACACATAGGTGAAAAAAGTGTGGCGGTAGATGAGGGAGAGGTAGAAGGCGAGGCAAAGGAGGAGCAAATCGTCTTACAGTCCAACGATTCACACGGCAACAAACAAATGCAGCAGATTTCTCCTTTTGTTAGAATAATAAAGGGGAACGAAACGAAGTCATTGCCTAACTTACATTCCGGAATGAGGTCAAACGGTGACAGAACATACACGAAAACAATAGCCACCTGCGGATGTGATTATAACAGGGGATATAGGGGAAGTCAATTGTGATTAGGGAAAATGGTGGTAATGACGGAAGGGATGAATGAACACATTGTGATCACCATGGGGTATGAGACGCCATAAGATACAATAAAAGAAATAATGGGACATAAAGAGACATAACGGCCACCGGCATTAGTCGTTAGTAATAAATGCCACGTGGAGAAAATCATTCGAAGGGGGAAAAGTCATGACAACTTTCAACGCAAAAATGCTTAATGCAGAATTACTTACACAGAACACCATTCGAGCATTGTGCAGCAAGCGCAGGGCCCTCAGTGGGTCGGTCAGGTCCCGAGCGAGTCGAGAGAGAAGCAGAGGCATGTCCAGGATGCGCTGGTGTGTGGTGAGGAGGGGTGGGAAGAGGTGGAGAGAGAGAGTTGAGACCAGCTATGAGAAAAGCTCTCAGTGGGTCGGTCAGGTCCCGAGCGAGTCGAGAGAGGAGCAGAGGCATAGTCCAGGATGCGCTGTAGGGGGGCGAGGAGGGGTGGGAAGTGGTGGAGAGAGGTGGGGAGAAATGGGGGGAGAGAGTTAGGAACAGCCGAGCGCAGGGCCCTTAGTGGGTCGGACAGGTCGCGAGCGAGTAGAGAGAGAAGCAGAGGCATGTCCAGGATGCGCCGGTGTGCGGTGAAGAGGGTTGGGAACGGGTGGAGAGGGGTGGGGAGATGTTGGGGGTGGTGGGATGAGGTAGGAGGAGGTAGGGAGAGGGAGTTAGGAACAGCCAAGAGGAGGGCCCTTAGAAGGTTGGAGAGGTTGCAAGCGAGTCGAAAGAGGAGCAGAGGCATGACCAGAATGCGCTGGTGAGTGGAGAGAGGTAGGGAGAGGGCGTTGAGAATGGCCGTGAGGAGAGGAAAGCATGGATGAGAGAGGAGCAGAGGCACGCTTAGTAGAGAATATGCTGTTGGGAAATTTCAAGACAAATGTTGCGGATATGCTGGTGGAGGGTGGCGAAGGCAATTTTTGAGTCGACTAAAAAATCGACTCATCACACGCGGATATGCTCTTGAGAATTCTCAAGATGCATATTGAGAATATGCTTGTGGAGGGTGGTGAGGGCGGATGGGGAAAGTGATTTGCAGAGAGATGGGAAGAGTAAAAACGCCAACCTACCGCTACACGTGTTACACACATGTAAGCCAGAAATTTCGCCCTGCTACATGCTTGCAATAGTGCAAACAACATGACTCTAACGCACGTGCGACACAGACAACCCTCCAAAGAGCCGGTTGTAGCAAACCACCTCCCTCAGCAGCTCCACAGAGTGCCCCGGGGAGAGAGGGGCCTGGGGGCTGTCCGATACAGAGTCACCACCAGTAACACTCCTGCTACCCACCTGTAACACACGTCTGTAACATCATCCCACCTGCCAGAGCGACACAGGCACCCCTCCGAAGAGCCGGTTGTAGCGAGCCACCTCCCTCAGCAGCTCGACTGCATGCTCCGGGGAGAGAGGGAGGGCGGCATCACACCCAGTCTCACCTTGTGACACACCTTGTAACAACACACTCGTCATGTAACACACTCATAACACACCTGTCATAGCATCCCTACCTGCCACAGCGACACGGGCGCCCCTCCAAAGAGTCGGTCGTAGCGAGCCACCTCCCTCAGCAGCTGCACTGCATGCCCTGGGAAGAGCGGCTTGGAGTGGTCAGATACAGACTCACTATGTTACCCAACTGTAACACGCCTGTAGTAAAACTGTAACAGCATCCTACCTGCCACAGCGACACGGGCACCCCCCCGAAGAGTCGGTTATAGCGAGCCACCTCCCTCAGCAGCTCGACAGCATGCTCCGGGGAGAATCGAGCAGGCTGGGGGTCACACCCAGACTCACCTTGTTACACACCTGTAACACACGTGTAACACTTGTGACCAAGTTACCAACGGTAGCGTCCTACCTGCCAGAGAGACACGGGCACCCCTCCGAAGAGCCAGTTGTAGCGAGCCACTTCCCTCAGCAGCTCCACTGCATGATCCGGGGAGAGAGACAGGGAGCTGTGTTGCTACACACAAGTAATAACATACACCCGTAGCACACCCGTCACAGCACCATTACCTGCCACTCCCCCTACCTGCCAGAGCGACACAGGCACCCCTCCGAAGAGCCGGTTATAGCGAGCCACCTCCCTCAGCAGCTCCACTGCATGCTCTGGAGAGAGAGGGGCCTGGGGACTGTCAGAAAGACGGCCTGAGTCTGATGAATCCAGAGCAGAAGTGCGGGCTGTTGATGATACTACATTCGGATCCCTTGCTTCCCCTGCTGCTGATTCTGGTGCTGCTGCTGCTGCTGCTGCTCCTCCTCCTGCCGCTGCTCCTGCTGCAGCTCAAGACTGCAAGGAGAGGGCCTAAGCGACTCCCTCTGCTGGGCATCTGCAGGTTCAGAGAAAGGTGCCCTTGATGGCTCAGCAGACGGAGATGGCGTTTGCTGCACCAGGGAGGGTCTGGGTGGATCAGAGAAAGGCCTGAATGACTCTCTTTGCTGGTCATCCAACGGAGGTGCAGACGGTTCAGGGGAGGGCAAGGGGTGGGTGGCTGGGTGGGTGGCTGGGTGGGTGGGTGGCGATGTTTGGGTGGAGTGGGAGGGGAGGAGGAGGGTGATGGTGCGGCGGCAGATGGGGCACTTGCAGGGGACGAGAGCTGAGCTGTGATGCCACACCTTCAGGATGCACTCAGCTGTTGATGATGTAATACGTATGGTACACACATGGAGGGGGGAGATGGGTATGAGGGAGATGGGTTGATACGAGCCAGATGGGGCACTTGCATGGGACGAGAGGTGAGCTGTGATGCCACACCCTCAGGATGCACTCCGCTGTGTATATGGGGTGAATTGGGTTCATACAAGGTATGGGAGACATGGGGAACATGCAAGAGGCATGACACAGGGGGCACTTGCAGGGGAGAAGCGCTGAACTGTGATGCCACACCCTCAGGATGCACTCCGCTGTGTGTATGAGGCACAAGGGGCATATGCGGAACATGGGGCATATGGAAGAGGCATGACACTAATGGGGCACTTGCAGGGGACGAGGGCGGAGCTGTGATGCCACACCCTCAGAATGCACTCCGCTGGGAATGATGTGTATGTATGTACACACATGGGGAGACGAAATACAGGCAATAAGAGGGAACTGAAACGGGCACTTGCAGGGGACCATAGCGGAACTGTGATGCCACACCCTGAGAATGCCACACTCTCAGACGAAAGAGAGGCAGTATGGGAGAAATGAATGAATGGAGTGGCGACAGGAAGGGGACGGGGGCCGAGCTGTGATGCCACACCTCCAGAATGACCAAAGTTGACCAGCGTTGACTCACCGCAAAACCAGTGGCCGCAGGTGGCCTGGGTGGGCAGGAAAAACGCATCATGGCACACACAGCACATCTCGCCCTCTGGTCGCCTCAAAGTATGATATGAGAAGCCTCAGTAGTTGACCAGAGTTGACTCACCGCAGAACCAGTGGCCGCAGTTGGCCTGGGTGGGCAGGACAAACGCATCATGGCACACACACCCTCTGGTGGCTTCAATCTCTAAAATGTATCAAAATTTACCAGAGTTGACCAGGGTTGACCAGAGTTGACCAGAGTTGACTCACTGCAGAACCAGTGGCCGCAGTTGGCCTGGGTGGGCAGGGCGAAGGCATCGTGGCACACACAGCACATCTCCCCTTCTGGCGGCCTTGGCTCTGACCCCCCTGCCATTCCTTCTCCTGCTCCTGCTGCTTCTGCTGCTGTTCCTCCTCCTCCTGCTGTTGCTGCTGCTGCTGCTGCTTCTGCTGCTGCTCCAATGCTCTCTGCCTGAAAAACACGACTTGCGGGACCAACTCCACTTGCCGGACCAACTCCTCCCGAACCTGCAGCGGCAGCTGTAGAAGCAGTAGCAGTAGCAGCAGAGGCAGAAGGGACTGCAGTTCCACCGAAGTTCTGGCTGCTAATGTGGTTTCTATTGGAGTGGGGTGGCGTGGAACGGAAGAGGAAGAGGAGTGACACCCTGAAGGAAAGAAATGTGGGGACAGGAGGGGACGGTTTTGGGGGGGGAGGAGGGGAGGAGAAGAAAGGAGTTGGAGTAGGGCGAATAATGAAAGTTGAGAGGCGGAGGACCAAAAAATCTGGCTTTCATACCACCAGGAAAGATTGACGACGGTAACTTATGAGTTGTCCCAAAAGAGGGGTGGAGATTTTGCAGAAATTTATCGAAAAAAACGAGCGCGCCAGATCGACTTATCAAACTACGGTGGGAGCTGAGAAATGTCAGGTTATCAACTTATCAACTTCACGAAAGGAGCTGAGGTGGGCTAAATTAATTTCAACCTTAAGTGTGGAGAGTAACGCAGCAGCCAGAGAGGGATACCGAAGACTGCTATTAACGCGTACAGCACCTCGTCACCCACACCATGCACCAGCGGCATCAGCGCAGCACAATAAGAACTAAATCCTACTATTATCCTCGCCGTGGGCTAAAATCGAGGCGCGTTTAAACACGAAGAAACGAAACACCCTACTATAGCCTCGCCGAAGGACGGCGCTCTCGACGCGATTTCGCTTGAAAAACAAAACAAACACACTGAAATTCTTAATACGGCCGCAAAAAAAACAAGACGTTGTTCTAGTAAACGAAGAAATTGGCGAGGTTGATTCTACCCGTCGTCGTTCTTTTCGCTCTAAGCCCGCTTCGCGAGATCCGGAGCAACACAACGCCAGAAAAGGACAACGAGAGTGGCAGCTACTGAGTAAGAAACGCTAGCCTTTCACATATATCAACAAACATCCTATTTCTGCGAAGCGGCGCGACAATGCGAGAATGTCTCCTAGCCTTTCACTTGAACGTTTCCTAGAGAGCTCGTGTGCTGCTGGAGTTCCGGTTCTCCGTTACTCAAGGCGTCACGCAGCCTCGAAAAGCGCTGAAATTGCTTCGGAATTCGGAAACTCAGGTGGGGATGAGCGAGTTCGTTCTTGCTCGGTTCGGTGATCCCTAGAGCGGTAATGAGGTGGATATCGATGGATTACGAGAAACGCACAAAACACCTGTTATCGACCTTTTTACCAAACTGCACCTCTCACTTCCCAGGTGTACCCAATTCTCAGATTGGCATGGAAAGGGTGCCCCGTCCTGCTCATAGGCGTCTGACAGCGCTGATGGGTGCCTGCCAGCAAGAATTCCGTGTGACGATGTTTCAACGAAACTTGTCTGAGTTGTTACAACATGTAGACATTTTTTAATCCGGACCTTGTATACTTCACATCCAGTTTACAAGGCTTTACATCCAAAACCGTTCAAAGCATTCACCATTGGTCATAACTGAAGAATTTTGCACATTGACCCAGTTATGCAGTCCAGCACCTAACTTAAGGCACTTGGAACACAGCACTCTCACCTGCCAGAGCGACACAACACAGGCACCCCTTTTAAGAGTCGGTTGTAACGAGCCACCACCCTCGGCAGCTCCACAGAATGCTCCAAGGAGAGAGAATCAGGGAGCCCTCACACCCAGTCTCATCTCATGTAACACACTCGAAACACACCTGCCTGTAACAGCACCGTTCACCTGCCACCGCACTCCACTCTCCTGCCACAGCAGCACAGGCACATAGAACAAGCTCACAGCACTTAGGCTTGTCCAAGTTGTTTCTGGCAGAGTAATCACCTAAGAGAATATTCTTACAAGAAAAGAACAACAAACAGCAAGAGAAACGACAACAACTTCCTATTCTATAATTTCACCACCTGTCCCGCGCGGAAGTCCCCCCAAGTCGTTCGAGGCACGAAACTTCTCTTTCGTCCTCTTCACGTGGGTCCCCCGCATCCTGCTCACTTCCGCCCTTGTGTTGCCCACGTTCGCAACTGCACGCCGCTGCTGCATGCCCTTGCCTCCCGTGCACTTCACATGGGCTCCAGAGCAGGCTGGACTTGTTACAGCATTCCCCCGTAGAGCTGGTTGTAGCGAGCCACTTCCCCCAGCAGCTCCACTGCATGCTCCGGAGAGAGAGGTTGGCGGCTGTTAGACAGACGGACTGACACTGATGGCTCAGGAGCAGCGGCACCGGCTGTTGTTGATACCATTACGTTCAGATTTCCTGCCTCCACTGCTGCTAATTCTGGCACCTGCTGCCCCTGTGGCCTCTCCTGCTTCTCCCGCTGCTGCTGATCAAACTCCTCCTCCCGTTGCTGCTGCTCAAACTCCTTCTCCAACTGCTGCTGCTCAAACTCCTCCTCCAACTGCTGCTGCTCAAACTCCTCCTCCCGCTGCTGCTGCTCAAACTCCTCCTCCCGCTGCTGCTGCTCAAACTCCTCCTCCCGTTGCTGCTGCTCAAACTCCTCCTCCCGCTGCTGCTGCTCAAACTCCTCCTCCAACTGCTGCTGCTCAAACTCCTCCTCCAACTGCTGCTGCTCAAACTCCTCCTCCCGTTGCTGCTGCTCAAACTCCTCCTCCAACTGCTGCTGCTCAAACTCCTCCTCCCGTTGCTGCTGCTCAAACTCCTCCTCCCGCCGCTGCTGCTCAAACTCCTCCTCCCGCTGCTGCTGCTCAAACTCCTCCTCCCGTTGCTGCTGCTCAAACTCCTCCTCCCGCTGCTGCTGCTCAAACTCCTCCTCCCGCCGCTGCTGCTCAAACTCCTCCTCCCGTTGCTGCTGCTCAAACTCCTCCTCCAACGGCTGCTGCTCAAACTCCTCCTCCCGTTGCTGCTGCTCAAACTCCTCCTCCCGCTGCTGCTGCTCAAACTCCTCCTCCCGCTGCTGCTGCTCAAACTCCTCCTCCAACTGCTGCTGCTCAAACTCCTCCTCCAACTGCTGCTGCTCAAACTCCTCCTCCAACTGCTGCTGCTCAAACTCCTCCTCCCGCTGCTGCTGCTCAAACTCCTCCTCCCGCTGCTGCTGCTCAAACTCCTCCTCCCGTTGCTGCTGCTCAAACTCCTCCTCCAACTGCTGCTGCTCAAACTCCTCCTCCCGTTGCTGCTGCTCAAACTCCTCCTCCCGCTGCTGCTGCTCAAACTCCTCCTCCCGTTGCTGCTGCTCAAACTCCTCCTCCCGCTGCTGCTGCTCAAACTCCTCCTCCCGTTGCTGCTGCTCAAACTCCTCCTCCCGCTGCTGCTGCTCAAACTCCTCCTCCCGTTGCTGCTGCTCAAACTCCTCCTCCCGCTGCTGCTGCTCAAACTCCTCCTCCCGTTGCTGCTGCTCAAACTCCTCCTCCCGCTGCTGCTGCTCAAACTCCTCCTCCAACTGCTGCTGCTCAAACTCCTCCTCCCGCTGCTGCTGCTCAAACTCCTCCTCCCGCTGCTGCTGCTCAAACTCCTCCTCCAACTGCTGCTGCTCAAACTCCTCCTCCCGCTGCTGCTGCTCAAACTCCTCCTCCCGCTGCTGCTGCTCAAACTCCTCCTCCAACTGCTGCTGCTCAAAATCCTCCTCCCGCTGCTGCTGCTCAAACTCCTCCTGCTGCTGTTGCTCCTGCTGCTGTTGCTCCTGCTGTTGCTGCTCGAAACTGGAGGGAGACGGCCCAAGCGACTCCCTCAGCTGGGAATCCAAAGGTTCAAAGAAGGGCGCTCTTGATGGTTCAGCAGAAGGAGATGCCGCTTGCAATGGCGTTTGCTGCTCCAAGGAGTATCTGGGTGGATCAGAGGGAGCGGGCCTGAAAGACTCCCTTTGCTGGTCATCCAACGAGGGAGTTGGCCTAAGCGACTCCCTCTGCTGGTTCTCCGCAGGTTCAAAGAGAGGCGCTCGTGATGGTTCAGCAGAAGGAGATGCTGTTTGCAACAGCCTTTGCTGCTCCAAGGAGGGTCCTGGTGGATCAGAGGAATAGGGCCGAAATGACTCCCTTTGCTGGGCATCCATCGAAGGTTCGGATGGATTAGGGTACGTGGCTGGGTGGGTGGGCGGCGATGTTTGGGCGGAGTGGGAGGGGAGGAGGAGGGTGATGGTGCGGCGGCAGATGGGGCACTTGCAGGGGACGAGAGCTGAGCTGTGATGCCACACCTTCAGGATGCACGCCGCTGCGAGTGATGATGCATGGTACACATAAGGGGGGGAGACGGGTTGATATGAGGCAGATGGGGCACTTGCAGGGAATGAGTCTGAGCTGTGATGCCACGCTCTCAGAATGCACTCAGCTGTGTAAAATGCATGTGGTATATAGGAGCAGTGTGCATGTGATACATGTGGGGGGAGAGACATGACACCGATGGGTCACAGATGGAGAAGAAATAGAGGCAATATGAGGGAAATGAACGACACACTTGCAGGGGTCCAGGGCGGGGCTGTCATGCCACACACTCAAGATGCACTTCGCTGTTGGTGGCGTGGCGTGTATGATACGCACAGAAGGGAGGGCATATGGAAGGATATGAAGAAGTGGGAGGGCAGGAGGAGGGTGATGGGGCGAAGGCAGGAGGTGTTTCAGAAGTTGACCAGCGTTGACCAACTCAAACATTGACGAGCGTTGACCAAATAACGACCGCTAGTGTAACCAGAGTTGACTCACCGCAAAACCAGTGGCCGCAGTTGGCTTGGGTGGGCAGAACAAACGCATCATGGCACACACAGCACATCTCGCCCTCTGGTGGCCTTGGCTCTGACCCCCCTGCCATCCCTCCTGCTGCTGCTGCTGCTGCTGCTGCTGCTGCTGCTGCTGGTGCTGCTGCTCCTTCTCCTGCTCCTGCTGGTGCTGCTGCTTCTCCTGTACTTGCTGTTTCTGCTCCTCCTCCTCCTGCTGCTGCTCCTGCTGCTGCTTCTGCTATTGCTCCAATGCCGTGCCGGACCAACTCCACTCGTCAGACCAACTCTGCTTACCGAACCAACACCGCTTGCCAATCCAACACCTCCCAAACCTGTAGCAGCAGCACCAGAAGGAATCGCAGCACCACCAAGGTTCTGGCTGTTGCTGATGCTCCTAGTGGCGGAAGGCGGAGTGGAACAGAACAGCGAAAGTAATGACAGCCTGAAGGAAAGAAATGGGGGAAGGGGGAAGGCGGGAGAGGTTGTTGTGGAGGGTAGGGAGGGGGGGGGGAATATAAGAGTTGGAGTAGGGCGAATAATGAGAGGTAAGGGTTGGAGCAAGGTAAAAAAAAACGCTGTTTTTTATTTATTTATTTATTTATTTATTTATTTACCGTGAAAAACGGCCGTAAAAGGTAAAAAAACGGTAAAAAACGGTTCCAAAAGGTGATTTTCGTTTCAAGAAAAATCGGCCATTTTATGGGACCAAATTGATGGCGAAAATCACCAGGATGAAGAGGACGAACCCCTCCTTGCATGTGTGCATGTGTGGGCATGATTGAAAATGAATACGACCTTGTTTTTGCCTGTTTTTTCTTGGTGACAAGTGTTTTCTAACAAAAAACGCCGTATTTTTGAAAAATTACCGTAAAAAACAGACCGTAAAAAATGTTGGGTGCAAATACTATTTTTGCACGTCAACCAGCCGCCTGCATGAAGTCCCGCATTTTGTGTGTGTTTTGTGTGCATTCGGTTTTGCATTCTGTTTCATGTGTTTTTGTTGTGGGCACATGTCAAGTCATGACGGATCATGACGAGTCATGAATTCTCATGACGACTCATGTTCGTTCGTTTATTTTCATCAACAATCTTGAGCGTTCATGAAAGTTACGAGCGTCATGAAAGCTACGAGCGTCATGAAAGCTCATGAAAGTTCACGAACTTTCATGCGCGCTCATGGCGAGTGGCGAGTGTGCCGGGGGGTGCTGGGCTCGAGTCTTTGACTCGGACCCTTTGACCAGTTTCGCGCTGGTCAAAAAGCGCGCGAAAGTCAGGACCCGCGCGTGGGGTCCTGACATGCGCGTGTGGCCCCTCAGGGCCCGCGCGTGTGTCACGACTGTTGCGACCGTGCACAGTTGCACGATCGCAACAGAACAGGGCAATTTAATGCCCTGTCCCACGCGAGACAAAGCACGATCGCGTCAGCGATCGGCTTTTCTCGCTTGACCGGGGGTGCCACGAGATTACGGTTGACCAACCGTATCCCGTGCTGACTCGGAAACAGCAGCCTTCGCGCGAAAGTCACGCTGCTTAGCGTGATCATTTCGACGCAGGTACAAAACGGTAAATACCGTTTTATCAACGGTAAAATCCGTTTTATAACTGGGAAACGGTTTCTCACACGAGTGTCCATGATTCCTCATGTGAACTCGCGGAAATTCATGACGTGAATCAGCAGGGGACTTTGGTTTCAATTCAAGTGGATTACAGTTAAATCTCATGAGGCAGTTAAATATCAAGGGGATATTGGACACGGGAGCGGCATGGACCATGACTCCAAGGGCCGATCTCCTTGACAAAGTGGGACCGCACCAATTGCTAAAGTGAAGTCGGCGTCCGGGCACGCTCTCAAGGTGACGGGGGCGGGACGTGCTGCGTTCAAGGGTGCCGACGGCAAGCTAGTGGTGCTGAACGATGTGCTACTCGTCCCTGACCTCAAGGCAAACCTCATCTCCCTCCGGAAGCTGGGCAAATGTGAGGTCAACACTTCCACCGATGGTGCCAAGACATTCACGGGGTGGCTGGGAAAGCGGATGTTGTGGGACCTTCACGAGGACCGCGACATTTGCAAGTCAATGTGGCAGGTGCCGGTGGTGTTATGGGACAAGGAGGGTGGAACTGAGGGGGAGTGCAATGCTGTAGCTGCAGAGGAGCTGAAGGTTTCAGCAAGGAGCGGTGAAACGGACTGGATGACAGCCCACCGTCGCCTCGGGCACATAGCTATGCCCGCACTGCAGCAGCTGCAAAAGGGGGAAGGGGTCAAGGGTCTGAAGCTGATCGGTGCAACGGTCTCTCACAAGTGTGAAACTTGCATGCTGAGTAAGTTTACACGCTTCCCCTTTCATGCAACCGAGGGTGGCGGCAAGAAGCTCTTAGAGCTCGTGCACATGGATGTGGTGGGGCCGCTACCGGTGATAGGGGAACGGGGTGAGAAGTATTTTCTCACGATTGTAGATGATTGGAGCCGAGTGACTTGGGCCTATCCAATCAAGAAGAAGGACCACGTGCCGTCCATCATCCGTGACGATTGGCTGCCGTTGGTGGAGAAGCAGTCCGGGCACAAGGTGATGCGGATTAGGACTGACCGGGGTGGGGAGTTCCTTGGGGAGGAGCTGACTGCATGGCTGAAGAAGCAGGGCATCATCCGCGAGCTCACCACCTCATACACACCGCAGTCCAACGGCGTAGCTGAAAGGGCAAGTCGCACGGTCTTGGAAACAGCACGTGCACTCTTCATTGAGTCGGGGTTGGGGAACTCCAAGTGGCCACATGCTGTGCGCCACGCCACGGTGGTGAAGAACCGGGTGTTCACCAACGTTGGTGGTGAGTCATGGGTCCCCATGGAGAGGTGGCTTGGAAGGAAGCCGCCCATTGATATGCTGCGTGTGTTTGGCTGCATGGCAATGGCTCACATCCCCAAGGCACACCGTAGTAAGTTGGGTGCAACTGCCGTTTGGTGTGTGCACTTGGGGTTGGCAGCGGAAAGCAAGGGGTGGTTGCTATGGGAGCCGAGCAAAGGAGTGGTGTTTGACAGCAGAGATGTCAAATTCATGGAGGACATCACCTACGGGAGCTGGTCCAAGCAGCCAAAGGAGAAACTCATGCAGCAGCTGGAGCAAACAACGATGGGGTTTGATGCGGATGAGTGGGTGGGAGAGGAAGGTGCAATGGCATACGAGGAGGAGGGTGCAGCAGAGCTTCCCGTGGTCAAGGGCGTGGAACCAACGGTTGCACCTGAGGAACCTCACCCCATTACTCGTGTGATTCCCCCACCCTTCCCCAAAGAAGGATCCAAATCAAAACTCCCCCCACAGGTCGTGCTCTTTCACCCATGATCGAAAAGCAGATGCGTGCAGCCGCATTGAAGCTGAGGGACGATGCATTGCTGGTGCTTCAAAGTAGCTGTGACTCCGATGAGGAAGAGGAGGAAGAAGTCTACTGCTTCATGGCACCCGCACCACCTCAACCACTCACTACGGAAGAAGCACTCAAAGGGCCGGATAGGGAGAAGTGGGTGGCGTCAATGGATGCGGAATACAACAGCCAAATGGAGAATGGGTCATGGGAGCTGGTGCCACTGCCGGAGGGGAAGAAAGCCATAAGCTGTGGCTGGATTCCTAGGATCAAAACTGACAACAAAGGAGCCGTGTCAGTTTACAAGAGCAGGCTCGTAGCAAGGGGTTACCAACAAAAGGAAAGGGAAGACTTTAAGGAGACGTTTGCTGCAACTCCGAAGACACCAACATTGTGTGTTCTCCTCGCCGGTGCAGCCGTGTGTGGGTGGGTGATTGTGCAGATGGATATCACCACAGCCTTCCTCTATGGGCTGATAGATGTGGAGGTGTTCATGTCGCAGCCGCCGGGTTATGAGGATGGTACCGGGCGTGTGTGCAAGCTGAAGAAGGCCATCTATGGCCTCAAACAAGCACCACGCTGCTGGTACAACAAGTTGTCTTCGGTTCTAGAGGAGATAGGCTTCAGGGCAAGTGCATGTGATGAGGGCATTTTCCTCATGGGGGAGAAGGAGAGCCTCGTCATGTTCTTGGTGTACGTGGACGACATCCTCTTGTTCGGGAGCAGCAAGCAGGAAGTGATGAAGGTGCAGCAGAAGCTGATGCAAAACTTCAAGTGCAAGACCTTGGGGGAGGCGAACTACTATCTTGGGATGCACATTGAAAGGGATGTCAGCAATGGATGGGTGAAGCTGCACCAGGAGAAGTACATCAAGGACATGGGGAGCAAGTATGAGATTGAGGTCGGAAGGAAGATTACTACACCACTTCCATCCGATTTCAAACTCATCAAGGCTAGTGAGAATGAGGGAGTGGATCAGCGGGAGC